TTATTATCATATTAGGTTTAAGAGATGGATTTAAGCAGAAGGCTCAGGTTCTAGAGTCTTCAGATCCCAGAAGGATAATTTATATTTTATGAAGAGAGGAGATGTCAGAAAACAGAGTGGTAATGTGCAGAACTTCTGTAGCCAGGTTCAGCCCCTGGCCCCAGTTTGTAACTTGCACCCTAAAGGTTTACATAGAAGAAACAAAGGAAATAAACAGCTTCAAATAGATCTCTGGAGTTTCCAAATTTTCCGTCCCTGTCCCATATTTAGAACATTTTTCCCAGGTTAAAAAGTGTGGGTTTGAAATCATTCTTGCACCTATAAAATTTATCTCCTAAAGTAAAACAGTAAGATATTTTCAAGGTCAACAGCTAGATATTTGCTTTTGTTTTGTTTTTCTTTTTTGTTGTTTTAGAGAAGAGGAAAAAGAAAAAAAATCCTCAACTCTTCATCCCTAGAGAATTGAATGATGCCCTCAGTTATTTAACAAGACTGAGCTCCTAATTTGAGTTTCCACATTGGTCTTTTGTTTTGTTTTTGTTTTTGTTTTTTTGGTTTTGGAGACAGGTCTCCCTCTATCACCTAGGCTGGAGTGCAGGGCGCAGTCTCGGCCCACTGCAACCTCTGCCTCCTGGGTTCAAGTGATTCTCCCTCCTCAGGCCCCTGAGAAGCTGTGACTGCCAGCATGCACCACCGTGCCTGGCTAGTTTTTATATTTTTGGTGGCTATGGGGTTTCATCATGTTGCCCAGGCTGGTCTCAAACTCCTTGGCTCAAACTATCTACCCACCTTGGCTTCCCAAAGTGCTGGGATTACAGTTGTGAGCCACCACACCCAGCCCACATTTCCAAATTGTTTTGTGGGAACAGAATCCATTTCTATGATAACTAACATTCACAGAATGAAAGACCATTTATTTTAAATACATAATCACATAAAACATTTCAAGTGACTATTACCATCTATGAAGGGGACACCCAGAGTTCTAACAGAGGACATAACGATTATTATTCATGTTCTTAGTCACCTGGTAAATGACTGAAGATTCTTCAGCTTTAGAAATAAAAGCATGTGGATGTTTTGGATTCTCAAGATGTGCTTTTGTTGACAAATGAAGTATAAAAATTGCCAGTTATTTAGATAATATAATAAATGCAGACAAGCTCAGTATAAAAAAAGAAAAGTACCCTAAAATACCACTAGTCTGGATGAATTATTTTGTTGCTTACATTATGCAGGATTTGACAACTCTGCCTTTAGCATTGTTTCTTTAAGACGGTGGTTCCCAACCTTTTTGGCACCATGGACCAGATTTATGGAAGACAATTTTTCTCTGGACCAGGGATGGGAGAAAGTTTGGGGATGATTCAAGCACATGACATTTATTGTGCACATTATTTCTGTGATTATTATACTGTAATATATAATGAAATGATTATACAAGTCATTATGATGTAGATTATACCACTCACTATGTGGAATCAGTGGGAGCTCTGAGCTTGCTTTCCTGTAACTAGACGGTCCCATCTGGGACTTATGGGAGACAGTGACACCGAAGTGTGTTGCTTATGTTCAGTCTACTCCATAATCTCATTTTGGTCGCTGTCACTGCAGAAAACCCTGCTTCACTGAGATAAGATGTTGGAAATGGAAGCAGCGTTTTCAGTGCTTTTGTGGCAGTTTCAGGATATTCTGCTTTAAAACTTTAATCCAGAAGGTATGGAGATTTGAAGTTGTCTCAAACATACTTTTAAAGGCACCAAATGCAGCTGTACAACTGAAGTACATCAACTCACTTTCCACTCTAAACCCTGCCCTCAGATGCAGCTTGTCACTTGCCACTCACTGACAGGGTTTTGATATGAGTCTGCAAGCAATTGATTTATTATTGCCTCTGTGCCATCACACTTCTCTGCTAATGTTAATCTTCATTTGCAGCCACTCCCCAGCTCTAGCATCAGGGCTGCAGCCCCACCTCAGATCATCAGACATTAGATTCTCATAAGGAGCATGCAACCTACATCCCTCACGTGTGTAATTGACAATACGGTTTGTGTTCCTATGAGAAGCTAATGCTGCCACTCATCTGACAGGAGGCGGCACTCAGGCAGTAATGTGAGTGATAGGGGGCGGCTGTAAATACAGATGAAGCTTTGTTCGCTCGCCTGCTGCTCACTTCCTGCTGTGCAGCCCTGTTTCTAACAGGCCATGGACCACTACTGGTCCATGGTCTGTGGGCTGGGGACCCTTGCTTTAAGAAACTAGCCCAGTAGTACAGCGGTTGAGGTGAGCCTTTTTCGTGGAGAGCACGAAATCAAATGGAGAGCAACAGTGGTAGTATACGTACTTTAATTCAAGGAAAACTAGTAGGTGCTGGCAAAATACAACCTGTGGTATGGAAGTGAACAAGACATCATCTGTAGCTTTATTTTTTCTCTGAGCATGAAGCTTTGCCGTGGACTTCAAAGATTATTTTTCCACCGTAGTTACAAACATAGGTGAGAAACACATAGTTGGAAGACTATTGCCCTAAAATTGCATTAACTTTAAGGCTTAGTCTCACGAGTAAAATAGTATTTTCCTCAAAGCTTTTATTCATTCCTACTTATATCTCCATAAGATAGGGATTTCTGATCTAAAGAACTGGTAAGAAAGGAAGACAATAGGTATATTGAGATACTAAGAAGAGAATTTTTTTTTTTAAGTTTAAATAAGAATACAATGACAGAGTTTAGTCTCATGTGAAATTATTTACTTGGCTATGTGAAGATAAGTCTCTCAAGTTTTCTTGACATAATTTTGTCTAAATTTTCAGGAGGCTGTTTGTTTATGGTAGTTGGTGATTCTGTACATTGTCCCAGAGTTTTATTATCATCAAACAATCCTTTTACATTTTTCAGTATCTAGTGAAGCAAACTGGAAAGATTAGGAGTTTTCTAACTTAAAACATTGCAAGTTTAAACTTTAGCTGTGGTTACTGTGTTTCAGAATTTCAATTTCCTTTCCAATAAAGTGAGAATAACACCGATCTGGTGGATTTGTCTTGAAGTCTAAGTTAACTAGCATATGGAAAGCACCACTACAAAATCTGACTCACAATGTTGTGTTGCGCAATACTGAAGGAGATCGCTCCTAGCAGCAATACAAACTGTATAATCACACATTTATTTACTATTATCTTTGAAAGAGTCAGATCACTATTACATTGTATATTGACATCAGTGATATTCCAAGGATAACTCAAAGTAGATATCCCACTAATATGACTTAGATTTTGCTTGTTTGTTTGTTTTATAGACAGGGTCTTACTCTGTCACCTAGACTGGAGTACAATGGTACAATCACAGCTTAATGCAGCCTCAAACTCCTGCACACTCACATGATCCTCCCACCTTCACCTCCAGAGTTTCTTGGGACCACAGGCATGCACCACATACCTGGCTAATTTTTTTTTTTAATCTTAATTTCTTATCGAGATAGGGCCTTGCTATGTTGCTCAGGTTCATTTAAAACTCCTAGCCTCAAGCAATCCTTCTGCCTCAGCCTCCCAAAGTACTGGAATGACAGGTGTGAGCCACTGCACCTGGTTTGACTTAGCTCTTGTTTCCACTCCCTGCCTGAAGTTCAGTACCAAACAACTAAAGAATAATTATGCGAATTTTAAAATAATAAAGCAAAATGAGCTGAGAGAAAAAAATAGAACCAATATTATTTGCTCTGAAGAAAATGATTTGAAAAGTAAGTTTTATGATCTACTTCTCTGGACATTGTATTTCAAGAGACAGGCTTACATTATTAACTGATTGGGGATTTGACATGGCTAACGAGGTTTTTATGGAAAGCTGTTTAAAACATTCCTCATTTTTTCACTCCACCTTAAATTTACAGTTTCACTGTAAGAGAAAAAGAAAAAAGCAATTT